TGTATAAAGTAAAGAGAATTGGTCCTAGCACTGATCCCTGTGGTACTCCACAGGTAACCTGTGAGCATGTGGAAGATTTGTCATTAACATGAACAAACTGAATTCGATCAGATAGATAAGATTTAAACCAGTCTAGTGCTGTTCCTTTAATTCCAACAAAATATTCAAGTCTTTCTAAAAGAATATTATGGTCAACTGTATCAAATGCAGCACTAAGATCTAACAGGACGAGCACAGATACAAGTCCATTATCTGAGGCCATGAGAATATCATTAGTGACTTTCACCAGAGCTGTTTCAGTGCTATGATGAGCTCTAAAGCCAGACTGAAACTCTTCAAAAAGTTCATTATGGTGTAAGTGATCGCAAACTTGTTTGGCAACTACTTTCTCAAGAATTTTGGATAAGAAAGGAAGATTGGATATAGGTCTATAATTAACCAAGTCATCTGGGTCAAGAGACGGTTTCTTAAGCAGAGGTTTAATTACAGCAACCTTAAAAGCTTTAGGTACATATCCCTGTAACAGAGATAGATTAATCACATCTAAAATGGAGGAGGAGATCAAAGGGAATACCTCCTTAAATAACCTGGTTGGAACTGGATCTAACATACAAGTTGAAGGCTTAGATGAAGACAATAATTTTGCTAATTCAGAAAGTTCAACTGGATCAAAGCAGTCTAAACCCGGTTCAGATTCCATGACTACCTCAGGTACAATCGCGGATAGAGGAGTGCTTATGATCTTATTTTTAATAAGATCAATCTTATTTATAAAGAATCCCATAAAATCATTGCTGCTAAGAGCAGGTGGAATGGACGGTTCAACAGAGCTATGGCTCTGGGTGAGTTTGGCAACTGTATTAAAAAGAAATCTAGGATTATTCTTATTCTCCTCTATTAATGAGGAGAAGTATGCTGCTCTTGCTTTACAAAGGGTCCTCTTATACAGCAGTAAACCATTTTTCCAGACTTGGAAGGACTCCCGCAGGCCTGTGGAGCGATATTTTCTCTCCTGTTTCCTAGCATTTTGCTTCAAAGTACGCAGCTCTGCATTAAACTAAGGAGCAAGCTTTCTATTTTTAACGGTTTTCATTTTCAAAGGAGCTGCGTTGTCTAAGGCAGTACGCAGAGAACTAGCAACCCCATCAACAAAATCATCAACCTGTGAAGGGGAATAAGCTAAGCTTTTGCACTCTGCAGCACTGCTCAGTGACACAGAGGAGAGAGAAAGTGAAGCAGATTCTTTAAAATTTATAACTGCACTATCTGATAAAGATCTACTAAAATTGAACCTTCAGACATCAGAAATGTCAAGAGACAGTTACTTTTTTACAAGCAATTAATCCCTCCTGCTGTTTTAAATACACCTTAGAATAATTTTAATTTAACTAGATTATATCTTTCATAAGAAATTTTACCTACATCTTAAAAAATAAAGCAAGAATATTGTTCGGGCAGAATTGGTTTTGTAAAAAAAAGAAAAAAAAGTCAAGAATAGATTTGTTCAGATAAACAATTTATGTCATTTTCTTTATTTTTCAGCTGGAGTTTAGAGGATTTATCTTTTGCTGATGAGATTCCAGCCTTTTAGGCTGGACTGCCGTCTCGCTACCACCTTAATCAATATTTCCCTCCAAAGACTTAACAGTTTTGTCTGCCCTAAATTGTTAATGTTGTTTCAGATTACTTTAAGTCTAAATCTTCAAGGGGTGTGAATAATTTTAAGCCTATTGTACTTCATGCTTTGACTTCGGCTCCCCAGCCTAAGAACTTGGTAAAGATGTACAACCAGATCAATTGGATTATAAAAAAGTAAAGTTAGTGTCCATAAATTTGAATTATCAAAATCGCAATAGATACAACAAACAAGCCCGTGGCAAAACAAGCCATTGTTATGCAACAGCTTATGTCAAAACATGTTGTTTGATTGAAGATTTCAGAAATACTATACTCTAAGTTAATTTCCAGCTGCTGAAAAGGTTGAAATTCTGTTACTGATTCCTTTTTAAGAGCTATTGCAAAGTTTAACAAAAGCAAAATTTGTTGTGGTGCAGGATATTCAATAATTATATTAGAAGAGGTTGCATCATACCGCGTGAATAACAGCTGCTTCTGTAAAAATAGTTTTTTTAACTGTAGTGATGAAATAATGGTTGCTTGGTTAGCTAAGTTATTCTTCCTCAATGTTTGTCAACCCAACAGGAAGTCAGTATGTACAACTATAACATTATAAGGTCCTATGTGAAATGTGATCCTACAGTAACCAAAATACTGCTTATTCTGTCTAAAAGAACAATAATAATTGACTAGATCTCTGTTTTTGTGGCACTGAAGGTTGCATTCATTGTGTTACATTTTCCCACTGCTCTTGTTTTTGTTGCAAAACAATCCCACTGATGCTTTGCATTATTTTATCTTTCAAAGAGTTCACATTTTGGCGGCTGCATTATCAAAATCTCAATAGATACAACAAACAAGCCCGTGGCAAAACAAGCCATTGTTATGCAACAGCTTCTGTCAAAACATGTTGTTTGATTGAAGGTTTCAGAAATACTAAATTACAGAGCTGCAAATCCCCTTTTTGATTTTGACCATCAATACATTTATCAAACAGCTGTTACACCCCCTCTATTTTTAAAGGGGGAAAAAAAATCTATCAGGGATACAGACAATGATCGAATTGTTCTCTGCTAAAGCTGGAGACAGAGATAGAAAATCATTTGCTCTCAGACTATCCTCCTTTCTTACATATATCTCTGATTACATCACCATCCTATAAACAGGGCTCACATTTTTACAACCAGCAACGGTTTGCATTTAATTTTTTCAACCTGACAAATATATGTGAGGTCAGCAGACAGTTTGAATTATTCAGATGATTCAAAAACGCAGCACGTCACCTTACATATACAAAGACAAGCAGACCTGCATATAATACATCCGTTAAGCCATTACATATGCTTCTTCATTAAGGAGCCCACTCACATTCATGAGAGCTTCCTCTAATCAAGAAAAGCACAGTCTATTACTGCAATTCTATTAAAACGCTGCATCAAATGGTGAGTCGGGAGGTTATATTCAGTGGAAGTTTTATGAACTAAAAAGCCATGTCATTAACTTTAATGTTGAAAAGGAAACCAGCGTATCCGTAGCCGTAGATTACGTGTATGAAATTTAACCCTGGAGAGACACTAAAAATGGAAACCTATCCAAGTTTTAACCCAAAGTACTGAAAATAAGCTTACAACATGTCTCTGGGTAATATTGGACAGTTTATCACTTTTACAAATACTTGTGGAATGATGGACTAAATGTTTCTCTCAAACCATAAATCCAGCTGGTTGTGAGGATTTGCTGAGTGCCTATATATTTCTATACAATATTACTTCTGTTTCAATTTAGTTCAGTTTGTTAATAAAGCTCCAGTTGGCAACGCATTTCATCTCGTCTCCTTGAACCCCAGTCGGCCTCAGCAGATGGCCACTCACACTGAGCCTGGTTCTGCTGGAGGTTTCTTCCTGTTAAAAGGGAGTTTTTCCTCTCCACTGTTGCTACAAGCATGCTTAGTGTGAGGGATTGTATTTGAGTCAATCAGTCGATGCAATCAACTGGTTTTCCTTAGACTTGAATCAATTTGACTGTATGATCTGGTTGAACTGTAAAGTGCCTTGAGATTACATGTGTTGTCAATTGGCGCTATATAAATAAACTGAATTGAAATTAAATCTTGAAGCATTTTACAGAATTAAACCCAATCAAACCATGTGGATCAAAATGTTATCAGAGGAAATCCCATTGATAGCATCCATTAATTGACTTGCAGAATTCATTCTACATCAAGGAGCATGTGGATGGTCGCTTGCATTGTGACGTTGAAGTTGCAGCAGTCCCTCATACCCAGCATGCATCAATCTGACAGTGAAAAGGGAAAACTCCCTTTTAAAGGTGTGATTAGCTCTCTGCCACTGGGGGCTGAACAGATGGAGCATGCACAGGAAAATAACACAGAAGCCCTGATCCAGGGGTACCGGTACTTTCTATGGGAAAGAAAAAATAAATAAATAAATAATGGGAATAGTAGATTCAAGTCTGAAAGATGAAAAAGGGCACAAACAGTGACATACTGCAGGGGTGTCTACAGAGACTCAAACTGTGTTTTTATAAAAAAAATCCATCCAAAATAGCTCCTCTTTCTGTCTCTAAATCACTGAAAACATTCATATGCAATCAAATCCTGCAGGACAGAGATATATCTAAAGCTCCATGTAAAGACATTTTATTTACTCCTTTCTTAGACAGATTCTAGCTCACTGATATTCTATATTTAAGGGCAAAGGAGGCTTGAACAGTCTTTTTTCTTAATTTCATAATAGGAACAGGTGCAACACTCCACTGTGTGTAAAGGAGAGCAATCAGTGTTACAACGCTCTACAATTAAACAGGATTTTACAAAAAAAAGGTTACGACAGTATTTCAGCATTATGCCTTGTTAATCAGATTTATGGAAAGAATTTGGATGGAAGTTGTTGTTTTAGATGTTGCTTTATTTAACAATTAGTAGCAGGAGCTACTGATCTGAACTGAGCTATCTATATAAATATAATTCAAATTTTTATAATGACTATGATTTTCTATAAATATGCTTTCAGGCACTTTCTTGCTGTTTTCTCTAGTGCCACTCACTGTAGCTCAACAAGTTACAAAAATCAGGATGCTCAAAACAAAAGACAGTGTCTAGGATAGAAGAGAGCTACTTTGATATGATATCTTCAGCTTCCTGCTATTTTCTAAGTCGTACTCCCCTCTTATATCTACTGTCCTTCTTTAGTCTTATTGATGATGTATTCTGCTAATTTAAAGTGAAAAGCTTCCCAAGGAGAAGGCAACTGTCAGTCCATTTTTATAGAGCATATTTTTCTGTACACAGCTGATCACAACTGATTATTCTGTGCATCTTAGTTGTTTCTTCCTTCTAAGATGTGTGTCCCTTTTCACTGCAGGTTCCATATTCCCTGCACACAGACCATCTGAAACAGTTTTCAAGATCACCTTCTGGCTTGGCTACTTCAACAGCTGCATCAACCCTATCATCTACCCATGCTCCAATCAGGAGTTCAAAAAGGCTTTTCAGAGTTTACTTGGAATTCACTGTTTGAGGATGACTCCCAGACCGCACCACCACCATCTGAGTACAAGCCAAAGTCAAACCCAAGGTCACAACCAGGGTCTTGCTCTGAGCCTCGACAGCAGGGGGGGTCCCTGCAGACTAAGCCCCTCTTCATCCGTAGCTCTGTCTAGAACTCCTTCCTCCAGGGACAGCAGGGAATGGAAAGTCTTCTCTGTGGGCCCCATCGGCAGCGGGGAAGGCCCGGCCGATAGCAGCAGGGCCAAGGTGGCCAAGCTGTGCAACAAAAGCCTCCAGCGAACCTGTTGCTGCGTTCTCAGTCCTGAGCCTCCTACACAGGAACCTCGTGTTGTTGGAGACCTTCCAATTATTAAAATCCACCAGCTATCCCTGTCAGAAAAAGGAGATCCTGTATAACCTGAGGTATCATTCATGCTACATTTTATTTGACGCTGCTGCTGCTTTGAAACTGAGATTTACCTCAACTTTGATATCGTAATTTTACTTTTTGCTTTACCAGATATAAATCAGTCAAGAGGGCAAAAAGAAGACGTTTTCTGTCAATTCTGTTGAATCGAAGGGAACCAAAATTGCTAAGGTGATTTAGATGAGCTATTTCAAGCATTCCCAAATGTTTACATGTACAGCAGGAATGAAAAATGTACACACCCCTGTTAAAATGTCAGGTTTTCAGATGTAAAAGTCAGAATAAAATGAATAATTTCAGGAGATTTTCACATTTAATGATACACATAACATGTACCAGTAATCTTAAAGGAACAAACTGTCATCTTTGAGAGGGGAAAAATAGAAAATAAAAATTTGTGCACAACCTCTTATTTCTTTCTATCCATCATCAGACTTTACCCCTACAGTCAACTCGTTTTATATCGGATTCAATACAATAGAACCATCTTTCTAATTAGCTTTTTCACAATGTTTTTCATTGTTGTTTGTGGGTCATGAGGGGTACTGGTGTCTAGCTGTCTACGGACAAGAGGCGGGGTAAACCCTGGACAGGTTGCTAGTCTGTCGCAGGACAACACATAGAAAAACAACCATTCACACACACAATCACACCTAAGGAGAATTTTAGAGAAGGCGTGTCATGTTTTTGGACTGTGGAAGAAAGCTGGAGTACCTGGAGAGAACCCGAGTATGCACAGGGAGAACATGCAAACTCCTTGCAGAAAGACCGGGACTAGAACCCGGAACCTTCTTGCAGCAAGGCAGCAGTGCTACCCACTGCTCCACTGCTCAGCCCTCAACTAAGGACATTAAACTAAATCAATAACATTACTAAGGACTGGATATCCTTCCAAAAATCAATAAATAATGAGAGGAAAACCAGTCCTTTGTTTTGTGTTACCAATACTGTCTGTGTGGTACAACTGACAGCAATCTTCTGTATTTTATTAATCATATATCTATGTTACATAGAAAAAAAGAAAGCAATTTTAGATAAAGAAAAAATGCCACCCAGGCTAAATAAACAAAAAATATGTTAAACTCCCCCAAAAAACCTGTGGAAAATGTGTTAGAGCCCAATTAAATCAGCTTTATAAATGAAGTTCAAAGCAAAAACAACATGAAACATCATTAAAAGATCACAAAATTCACATGAAGCATTAAATCAGTAGCATCACTACTACTGAATGTTTGCACAAATATCCAGTCATCAGAAATATTTTAGAGCAGAGAAAACCCAAATCAAACATCCACATCAACAGAAGAAAGGCTTCATGAGAAGAAAAGAAAGAGAAAAAAACTTTAAAATTACCCATAGACCAAAAAAATAAATAAATAAATAAAAATCCTTGGGGTAATCTCAACAGAGGCGTGCACAAGAGTGCCCTGTAACAATCAGACATAAAGGCAGGAGGCACCATGCTGAGAGACATAAGGCTGAAAAAGAAGAAGTTGGCTTTAACAAAGTATTGGGCTAAGGATGGGCACCATTCCATAATCGATATGCAAGCAGTTTGAACCAGGCTGCAAAAGTTCAGATTATCCACTGTGATGTACTTTCTTTTACATGATAGAAATCTGACATTTCAACAGTAGTATCTGGATCTTTTGTATCTTCTCTGTCTTATTAAAAAGAGTGGTTTAAATGTATTGAATTGTAAATATGAATGTTGAATAAAGTGCATGGTCCTAAGGGATATCTTTTAAAGTGCCGGTGCTCCTGATATTTCCAAAGTTTTCCTGAGGCAGTTCATCTTGTGAAAATGTTTGTGTTCGCAGTACAAACCGAGGAAACCTCACATGCTTCCATGTCATTTACAATAAATTCCTATGACATGTTCCCAAGGGAGGATTTCTGAGGACATTTCCGAGCATCTGATGCTTGTTGTTTTTTTATCTGCTTTGTTTCTTTTTTCGAGTTAATTTACTGAACAACTTGTCTCTAGTTTTCCCACCACATTCCCACAGTGCCATGAATTTTGTGAGCCCTGCCAGATGGATCTCTTAATGCACTACTGTGGAATTTTAACTGACCTTGTGGTTGCTGGCCTCGATCCTGACCAACCTCAAGCGTCTTTAAAAAAGATCTGCCAGATTTAGAGATATATCAGGATAGTCTCACACAGTCTCAGACATTCTTTTTTCAGGCTGCGCTCCTTTTTCTATTGCTGTCAGTTTTAATAACTGATGACCAGTGGTGGTTCTTGCATTAAGGAAACCCAGGGTGAGATCATTTTTCCTCAGCCAATCCCATACAGAGTATATTCAGCTGAAACTAGATTTTTACAAGAACAATAAAAACACAATTATCTTCTTAATTAAGACAGATTTTTTTCTGCTTTAAGTTACCACGATTGTTTTTCTCTAAAAATATTAACTTTTTGTGATTTATAAATATGTGTTTATCAGTATATTTAAAACTGCTGCAGCAAAATAATCAAACCATAAGATGATCCCACCTTTACTTAATTAATTGATGTTTTCAGGCCAGTGAACTTCACTGCTTTTTCTTTAAATGTAGCAACAGTAATAGCCCAACTCTTACATTTTATTTATCTAATCAGATCAAAGGACATGTCTTGACAATCATAATCTTTGTAAATTAGCACGTTAAAAAAGTAATAAGGATTTATAAGTTTTTATTGAAATAATTGTTTTTAAGCAGCCTTTTCTCGTGGCCTAAAAGGCAGTGTCACTGCAGATAATAAAACTCTACGTTTTTGCTTGCTTTGCATCTCTTTAACAGGTTGAGACAATAGAGAAACATTATTGTTTCACTTTATTTGCAGTGCTCATAATACTTTTGAGAACCTGCTTTCATGTCTGAAGCTCATTCTGGATCTAATGTTGCAACAAAATGTAATGCATCCTATTCTTACATCTACTTAAGCATATTCAGTTACTTTAACACAATATCAACAGGAAATTAGCAGGTTAGGACATGAAACAATTGTGTTAATGTAAGTAAATATGCTCAAGTAGATACAAGAAAATTATGCATTATGTTTTTCAATGTATTTGCATTCCTGGGCTTCTAGTATTTTTAAGCCCCAAGTTTTCTTGTTATATTATGAAAATCAAAACCTTTCGTATCGCCCAGTAGACGAGAACAGATTTTCTTTTTTTTGCATTTTTTTTTAAATGAGTGCAATCAGAGTGTTAAAGCCAAAATGGAACTGATTCCCCATCTTACACTGATAAAAAAAAAAAGAATGCTACTGTTTTTGGCATCTATTTAATCATATTACACAACATGTTCATGTTGGCATGGTAGGACATAAAATAATTGTGTTAGAGAAACTAAATATGAGTAGATACCAAAATTAAATTTTTATCGTACCAAACCTGCAGGACAATTAGATTTGAAAACAAAAAACTGTTATGGGGAATTACCAAAAAAAAAGTTTTCAATTCAAAGCGAGTGAGAAAAATAAAAATTGCTTAAAGAGGAACACAGTTTTTTTTTTACATTGGCCCCTTGATTTAACGTTATTACATCATGTTCTACTCACCCATATTAGTTTTGTGTCATTTGGAGCTGTTCTGAAGATATTTGGTTAGGTAAGTAACATCTTCTTATGGGCAACGAGTTGAAGGCACAAACTAAACTGTTCATAATTTATTCTGTATGGTACGCCAGCATTCATAACGTTATATTTTTTATATCTTTTTTTTTTTTACAAAGCGGAGTGTGTATGACATCATCCGCACTCCGGACTGGTGTTGTGACAGGCAGCCCGGGCCACAGCCGGCTACGCTCTACCTTTCTATTCATTTGGTGAGCTAATCTGAATCGTTCAATTCCATTTCGAGAGGCATGGGAGTAAAACTAGCAGCAGTTCAGCGGACAGATGAATAAATGGTAGCCGGCGCGTGGATGACGTCATACACGCGCTGCTTTGTTTAAAAAAAATATAAATAGAAAATATATAACTTCGGATGTCTGGGGGACAGTGATTCGCCTACATGTTATGAATGGTGGCGTACCATACAGAATAAATTATTAACCGTTTAGTTTGTGCCTTTTACTCGTTGCCCATAGGAAGACGTTACTTGGATTACAAAACCGAATATGTTTAAAACAGCTCCAAATGACACAAAACTAATATGGATGAGTAGAACATGATGTAATAATATAAAATCAAGGCCCAAATGTAAAAAAAAACGGTGTTCCCCTTTAAAGCCTCTCTCATTCTTTGGTCATTTAGCTTCTGTACATATATTAAAAGGTTATATAAGAAGATTTAGAATACAATTAACGAGAAAACAGAATTCCAAACATTAGTTTTTCCTAATAAAATAAATCTCAAATTGTGCTTTTAAACCTTTGCTTATATCCCCTTGATACGACAGCGCCCTGGGCAGTGAGCCACATTACCCATATAACAAACCTTCCACACTGAAGCGTTTCTGTGGCCTTCACCAGACCACCAGACTCCCATGTGTTTTGTTAAGTCTAAAGGTGAAAAACAGAGTGTTTAAGTGTGAGTCCAGGACTGTAAAGTGCCTCCGTTTGCGCAGAAGCATCAAAAGGGCAGGAGGACAACCACTGCCAGCTGTATCGATTTATTTCCTCCTGGCTACTCCCTGCTCCATGCAAGATGCGCTCCTTTTTTTCTCCAAGTGTAGGCGGAAAGAGATGCAGTCGGCATCGTTAAGCCAGCCTCTCTTTCTCTCTCTCTTCATGTTAAGTTCATTCGCTGAAGTGGAGTTGACAGTTTCCCCCCCAGGGGAAGGAGCCGACACAAGAGCGAGAGTGCCTGCAAGTGTCCGCGTTGTCATTGACTGGCATGGCTGCGAACCTGAGAATTACACCCATCTCTGTGCAGATGCCATTAGAGGAGCAACTGGCTGGGGCAATAAATTACATCTGCCGCAGGTGACCCTAACTAACCTCCTCGCTTTGTTATGGCTCTTTATGGAAAGTGGGATTATCCACTCAACCCTCAGCCAATGAAAGCTGAGAAATAAAGATGTATAATCTTCTAAATGGCTGTAATGAACACTAAGTATATCTATAGAGGAACAGAGCATCCTTTGTTTCATCAGCACCTGCTGGATACTTACCCGTATATTAGATTAGTCATTCATAGTGTTAGTTACCATGTTTTGTCCAATTAGTTGAGTTAAAAAAAAGGCTCCTAATCAATGTTTATATCAGGGATATTTTTAATCTTTACGGTGGAATACTCTGCGTGTCGTGGCAGATCAATTACAGGAGGGGAGTGTGGTCTTTTAATAGCAGCCTCTGCGCTTCACTGGACTGAAAGCATAGCAAGTGTTACCGGTGACTCATGTTTGCACACTTCTCCCATGAGGTTTTAGCCGGGTTAAAATTAAAAAGAAAAGAAAAAAAACCCTGTGACGTTTTTTAAGCTGTCTTTAATTAGTTATATTAGTTATTATTATAACGGGAGGCCTCTTTCCCAGGTTAATCAGGATGAGCTCATCATCACTAATTGGACAAATGTCCAACAAGCCAAGTGAGAGACATCTTATCTGATCACAAAACTTTGCTGCTCTCAACCTTCTGTCCACCCCCATGCAGGCAAATAGAAGCAGGAACATAAAAAAAAAAAAAAAGGAATGCTTTTACTCTCCTCCATTACTCTGTATCCCCACCTGGTGTCCTATGGAGGAGTAAACCAATTTCATAGTGATGCATTTATAACTATAATGTAATTCATTAATGTACCCAACAACCAATTAATTTAATAATTTGTTGTGATTTCTTATTTCCTGTAACTTAATCTATAAACTGTGTGTAATTAGCATTCCTTTGATCCTACATTTGATCCTTTTTAACTTCTGTTTATTACTACAGGCCTATGCTTTTATTTTCATGATAATCAATTAAATACTTATGATTGTGTTTGTTATGATTTTTATAATTAACTTTCTTCTGTACTATAGCTTAAATTCTGAACAATATTAGATTTTTTTTTTTTTGCATTGG